TGGTGAGACCTCATCTCTACAATAAATAAATAAATAAATTAGCCGGGCATGGTGGTGCATGCCCATAGTTCTAGCTGCTTGAAAGGCTGAGGTGGAAGGATCACCTGAGCCCAGCAGGTCAAGGCTACAGTGGCTGTGAGCATGCCACTGCACTCCAGTCTGGGTGACAGAGTGAGACTCCAACTCAAAAATAACAATAATAATTTTAAAAAGTTAACTATCAGGGGAAATAAAAGGAATGCACAGATCTGAGTTTCTTGTCACTAAGGCCGGTTATTTGGTGCAGGTTTGACATAGATAAGTTTCTTGTAGGCAGATTTAAATTAAAATAGGGTCAGTGTTCAGACGTCTTTCGTATTGGTACACGACCTTCACCTAACTGACCAGCCACATCAAACCTGACCACCTTGTGGGCTGGAATGTGAATCTACCAGTGCAGTAAATCACGGAAACAATAGAGAGTTACCCAAAACACAGACATGATGTTCTAAGAAAAGCCCAAGTCTAGTCAGGCATTAACTTTAATTAGAAGGTCCTTGAGACTTTAGAGCTATAGTAATCAAAACTCATGACCAGACACCTGCAGCCCACCTCTCTTAGCTCATGGTTTGCTTAATCATCACGGTAAAGTTATGTAAAGCTTTTTGTCAAAGGCAAGCACATGTCCTTTTTCTTAAGGCACCCATGTCCTTTGAGCATGCCTTTTTCTTTCTAATAAAATCCGTCTTAAACTACTCTTGGGACTTGTTCTGAAATTCTTTTCTGTGGCTGATTCAAAGACCCCATAGAGCAATACCCTCCACCTACCCAGCATCACCATCACAACACCATCACAAACACAAGGCTAACCCTTGTGATTGCTAATTTCCTGTCTGTTCCCCCACCAGCCACAGGAGCCACCACAAGAAGTGGGAGACCAGACTAAGCTTTGCTTTTAAACAAGTCCCAGCTCCCGGCATGCATGACTAAGCCTTAGCCATGCTGTCAATGGCAGTTCTTGGCATTCTCATTTGCATCCTTGTCTCTCAGTACTAGAAGGCCTCAAGAGCTGACTTAAAGGGGAGAGGGCTCCTACCTGCACTGCCAGGCTTTTGGGGACCGGAGGCCCAGGGGGGTCACCCAGGCTGCCCCTGCAGCCTGAGAGTGCCAGGCCTGGGGAGCGCTCCCCTTCCCCCAGGGCCTCTGTGCGACCCGGGTGGCCTCCCTGGGGACCTTCCTCTCCTGCCTGGTTCCAACCTTCTGATGGCACTGCAGGAGGAAGGCTGCAGAGGAAGGAGAGAGAAAGAAAAGAGAGTGAGGGGAGGGGAGGATCAGAGCCAGGAGCAGTGATGACACCTGGGACTCCAGTCGCTCCTATCTCTGAGTAAGTGACATCTAGTTCCAACACTCAAGCCCCTGGGATGGGACTGGGTCAGCATCTGTGGCTCAAATGCAGGATGTGCACCTCAAGCTGTGTGTCCTCAAGCTGGTCACTTGACTTCTCCGTGCCTCAGTTCCCCATCAGTGAAATGGGCACAATTTCTTGCAGGGGTCACCCCACTCCTTCAGGACTCCCCCACCTCTCCCCGCCTGGCCCAGCTCCCTCTGTCCATGTCCCAGCACCCTAGCATCTCACCAGCCAGTTGTTGCAGGGCCCGCAGGGTCTGGATTCTCTCGTCTGTGCCATCTGGTCTCTCCCCAGGATGTGACAGGATCTGCTGGGCTCCCTCCTCCTCCCTGAGACTTCCTGGACTAAGAGTGAAGTTGCCCAGAGAGAAGCTGATGTCCTGGGCTGAGGAGGGGCGCGTGGTCCCAGCCTGTGTCCCCCACCAGAGGCAGGTGCAGTCTGCCCTCGGGAGTAGGAGTGCTGAGCTACAACCTGCTTCCAGACAGGTCATTGGATTCCCGATGATAAAGCTATTGGGCTGGGGAGGTCTGTTTTTGCTTTATTCTCTTCAATATTATTTGGATTTTTTTTTTTAGCAACAAACTGAATATCACTTATTAAACTGAATATCACTTAAATAATTGTCTAAATATATTTGTTCATTTTAAAAAACAAGGGCTGGGTGGTATGGCTCACTCCTGCAATCCCAGCACTTTGGGCGGCAGAAGTGAGAGGATTGCCTGAGTCCGCGGATTCAAGACCAGCCTGGGCAACTTGGTGAGACCCCATCTCTACAATAAATCAAAAAATTAGCTGGGTGTGGTGATACACGCCTGTAATTCCGGTACTTGGAAGGCTGAGGTGGAAGGATTGCCTGAGCCCAGCGGGTTGTCGCTGGTGTGGCCATGAGCATGCCACTGCACTCTGGCCTGGGTGACAGAGTGAGACTCCAACTCAAAAAAAAAAAGAACAAAACAATATAACTCTGCAGTGGACACTGGGAAAATGAAGAAGAAAATAACTAACTTCAACTCCACTGCCGCAGGGAGAAGCACTATTCAGCATTTTAAAATGAAATCTGATTTTATTTTGGTCAAGCACAGTGGTTCACACCTGTAATCCCAGCATTTTGGGAGGCAGAGACCAGAGGATTGCCTGAGCCCAGGGGTTCAAGACCAGCCTGGGTAACTTGGTGAGACCTTGTCTCTACAATAACTCAAAAAAATTAGTTGGGCGTGGTAGTGCACACCTGTGGTTTCAGCTACTTGGAAGGCTGAGGTGGAAGGATTTCCTGAGTCCAGAAGGTTGAGGATATGATTGCCGTGACGGTGCCACTGCACTCCAGCCTGGGCAACAGAGTGAGATTCCCATTAAAAAGTTTTTTATTTTTTTAACTTGCTGATTGTGGTAAAATATGCATGACAGAAAATTTACCATCTGAGCCATATTTTTGGTACCAACTTGTTCAGAAAGTGTATAGTTCAGTAGTGTTAAGTTCATTCACACTGAGCAACATTTTAGGACTTTTTCCCCTTCCAATCTTTTTTCCAGGTACTGTTTTATGTGGCTGGGGGGAAATATTTTATTTATTTATTTATTTATTTACTACAGAGATAGGGTCTCGTTACGTTGGCCAAAATGGTCTTGAACCCCTGGCCTCAGGCAGTTCTCCTGCCTTGGCCTCCCAAAGTGCTGGGATTACAGGTGTAAGCCACTGTACCTGGCCAAGAATTATTTTAGATACTACTTTTTCTTATTTTTAAAAAAATATTAGATTGATTGATTAAGACGGGGTCTTGCTCTGTTGCCCGGGCTGCAGTGCAGTGGTGCAATCATGGCTCGCTGTAGCCTTGAACTCCTGGGTTCAAGTGACCCTCCCACCTCAGCCTGCCAAGTATCTGGGACTTACAGGCACTACCACCACAACCGGCTCCTTCCTTATCTTTTTAACTTAACATTGTTGTGCTATTTTTTCTTGTCCTCTTTTTTTTTTTTTTTTGAGTTGGAGTCTCATTTCATCGTCCTGGCTGAAGTGCAACTGTCACGCTGCTCAGGGTCACCACAGCCTCAACCTGCTGGTCTCAGACGATCCTTCCACCTCAGCCTTCCAACGAGCTGAAACTACAGGCGTGTGCCACCATGCCTGGATAATTTTTTTTTTTTTTGAGTTGGAGTCTCACTCTGTCACCCAGACGGGAGTGCAGTGGCCACTCCTGGCCACCGCAGCCTCGACCTGCTGGGCTCTGGCGATCCTTCCGCCTCAGCCTTCCAAGTAGCTGGAACAACAGGCACGTGCTACCACGCCAGGCTAAATTTTTATTTTTTTGATTTATTGTTGAGATGAGGGCTCGCCAAGTTGCCCAGGTTGGTCTCGAACCCCTGAGCTCAGGCAATCCTCTTGCCTCCACCTCCCAAAGTGCTGGGATTATAGGTGTGAGCCACTGCACCTGGCTTTTTCCTGTCTTTAACAATGCTATAAAAATATCCATAAAAATATATCCAGAGAAGGGGACGTGAGGAGGTTGAAGCTTTCAAGTTCATTAACACACTTTTAGCCGGGCTCAGTGGCTCAGCCCGTAATCCCGCACCTTTGGGAGGCTGAGGTGAGTGGATTGCCTGAGCCTGCGGGTTCGAGACCCGCCTGGGCAACTGGGTGAGACCTCATTTCTACAGTAAATCAAAAACTAGCCGGGCATGGTAGCGTGCGCCTGTAGTTCCAGCCACTTGGAAGGCTGAGGAGAAAGGATCGCCGGAGCCCAGCAGGTCGAGGCTGTGGTGGCCGGGAGCGGCCACTGCACTCCAGTCTGGGCGACAGAGTGAGACTCCAACTCAAAAAAAAAAAAAGAGTGGGAAGGAGGTTTCTGGAGTCTTCCTGAACATCGTAAGGAATGACTACCAAACTGTTCACCACGCGGTCAAGCTGTCATTCGCTGCCGAACACGTGGGCTGCGGGGCTGTGTTTACAGCTGTAAGTGGTGGCGCCTGGACGTCTTTTACACCAGTCTTTGTCCTCCCCTGCTCCTTTCATCCCCACACTCTTGGGGGGGAGGGGAAGTGGGGACAGCAAGGCGGAAGTGGGGGAGGGAAGGCCACTGGGGCCCAGGCCACACTGACCCACCTCAGGTGCTCCAGCCCAGGCCTCTGGAGGGAGTCCACCGCTGCCTTTCTTCCAAAGGAGGGGTCTGGGCCAGGGCCGGCCCTGGAGAGTGGGCATCCCGACCCAGCTGGGGTGCAGTGCCGCCCTCGCTTCTGCTGTAGAGTCAGTTGTCTCCACTGGGTCAAGGGAGAAGGGGAACAGGGATGTCGGCCTCGAATGTGCCCTCCCAAGGGAGACCAGGCAGGGGTGGAAGCAGGAGTCAGACGCTAAAGTCTGACGTCTTCACCACTGGGCTACCCTGCTTCTTTGGGAACGAGTGAATGAATATGGAGACGGTCCCAAGAGGCAGGGCTTTTTTGGGGAGACAAAACCGGGGGCTGAACGCTCCTAGGGCACCCCTTTCCCAAGGAGGGAAGAACGCAGACATTCTTGCCCAGTCCTCACTGGCAAACCACTAATTAACAATAGCAGCCACTGACAGAGTAGCTTGCTATGTGCTAGGAAGGGCCGAGTCCCTTACATCCATTCATTTAATCTTACAACAGCCCTGAGAGGTATGTACTGTTAGTACCTCATTTTAGAGATAAAGTGACTGAGGCACAGAGAGGTTAGGCAACTTGCTCAAGGTCACACAGCAAGAAAGTGGTGGAGGTAGATTTGAACTTAGGCAGTGCTGATGCCAGTGCTGCAGATCACTCATGAGGCGTAACCTATGCCCAGTGGGTCTCCTCCCCAGACACACGAGTGCTTCCCACCTCCCCTGGCCCACCCCAGAGAGCCCTGACCTCTTGGAAGCTCCGGGCCAGCAGGGCCTTCTCGTATCGCTTCCACGCTGCCTCCAGCTGGGCCTCCCGGAGCCACAGGGCCCACCGCAGCGCCCGAAGACCCTTTCGCAACAGCTGCCGGCGGCCCAGCGCCATCGCCGCTGACATAGCCCACTGCCTCTGCACCAAGTGCCTCCAGGCTCTGAAACAGCTGGACAGCAACTGCCGGCTGGGGACAGACCAGGGCTGATGGGAGGTGGGTAGATCAGCCCTCCCACCCCCAGGGAGCAGCTGGTGGCTGGGGACCATCTGCGTCCCTTTTCCAGTAATCATGAGGGATGTGCTAGCTGCAGATCGGAAGATCATCCCTCCTACCGATGCTAGACCTGGAAGTCCCAGACAAGAAAAGCCTGGAAGGTGGGAGAATGCCCCACGTGACCGCCAGGAGCTCAGGGTAGCCCGGAAGGTCGTGATGCCCAGCGCCTCAAACCCAGGAGGAGCATTCCCTCATTCTTGCCTCTGGGGCCCAGGACTTCCCTCCCGGTTCTTTTGGGGATGGCTTTTAAATTTATTTTTTGAGCCAGGCTCGGTGGCTCAGCCTGTACTCCCGTGCTTTGGGAGGCTGAGGTAAGTGGATTGCCTGAGCCCGCAGGTTCGAGACCTGCCTGGGCAACTTGGCCAGACCTCATCTCTACAATAAATCAAAAAATTAGCTGGGTGTGGTAGTGCACACCTGTAATTCCAGCTCCTTGGAAGGCTGAGGTGGAAGGATCGCCGGAGCCCAGCAGGTCGAGGCTGTGGTGGCCGGGAGCGGCCACTGCACTCCAGTCTGGGCGACAGAGTGAGACTCCAACTCAAAAAAAATTTTCTGAGTAGGAATCTTACTCTGTCACTCATGCTGGAGTGTGGTGGTATGATCATGGCTTACCGCAGCCTCCACCTTCTGGACTCAAGAGATCCTTCCACCTTAGCCTCCTGAGTAGCGGGGACTTCAGGAGTGCACCACAATGCCTGGTTAATTTTTTTTTTTTTGGTAGAGACGAGGTCTCGCCATGTTGCTCAGGCTGACCTCAAAGCCCTGGGCTTAAGTGATCCTCCCACCTTGGCCTCCCAAATTGCTGGGATTACAGGCGTGAGTCACCGCACCCAGCCTTGCTCTCCTTAAATCCTGCCTGATCTCCATCAGGCCTGAGTCTCCATCAGGCCTGGCCCAGGCAAATGGGAGGGGAGCTGTCCCAGGACTGGGTCCCCACAGCCCCACTGGTACCCCCACCCGGCCATGGCCTCACCAGGCTGCCTCAGACTCCGGAGCCACAGTATCTTGGGGCTTGTTCTGGGGAAGCAAAAGGACACGACACAGCTGCCTGCCCAGGGCACCCCACTCCTGCTCCCACCCCCAGCCTCCTCTGGCTCTACCTGTGGGGTGCTCCTTGCTGGGGTTTCCTCTGGTGGACAGAAAGTCGTCCTCTCCTCCTCCCTGCTGACCAGCTCTCTGGGGGACCCCTCCCCTCCTTTCTGCCCAGGTCGGACTTCCTGGGAGGCACTGGAGAAAGCTGAGGAACGGGGCCTTCTGCCGCCCGCCCCTTGGGGGAGACTGGGGTGGCCGCTCTGCTCCCTGCCATGCGTGAGCCCTGGAGAGCAGTTCTTCCCTGGTCCTGGGGTGTGGCCAGGAAGCAGCCCCTGCTCAGGGTCAAGGAAACCCCCCACCGGCATCCCCAGTGTGGTCTCCGGCGACGGAGGCTTGCTGTGTGCACAAGACTCTGAGAGGCCGGCCTGAAGCCTCCGTGCCTTGAGGAAGTGCTCGGTTGCCCTGTGGCCTTGGGGATGGCTTTTCCCTTCATCCCAGGAAGCAAGAACAGGCTGGCTGGGCTGGGAACGGACAGGGAGCACCGGGCCACCACTGGCCCAGGGGTCCTGCCGCATGGGGCTGGGGGCCTTCTGGGATGCCCGGCACCCGAGACGGGCTGCCTCCTGTTCCAGGCGTTGCACCAAGGCCAGCAGCTGGCGGGTGGCAGCGTGGGATGGGGCCCGAAGCGGGCTTGGGGCAGGGACAGCCAGGTCCTCCAGGCTGAGGGGTTCCCCAACCAGCCTGGAGGCCCAGCTCTCCTGGCCACACCGGGATCCGGGGGCTGGCTGTGAGCGCCCATCGAGGGGGCCCGAGTCCACAGTGGGCCTGAAGTCCAGGCCCAGGATGTCTGTGGCTGGCCGCTGGGACTGCCTCGGGCTGGGGGATGGGCCAGTCAGTGGCACCTGGGGGAGAGAACTTCCCAGGGGCAGCAAGTGGAGCCTGGAGCTTCCTCCAGGCTCTGGCCAGAGGCAGGGACTGGTCTCCCTCATGCTCAGGTTGCTTTGTTGGACAGCAAACTCTCGGGCTTTCCCGCTCCGCCTCCTGGCCGGGGCCTGCAGATTGCTTTGTTGCCGGAAGCTTGCACTGACACGCTGACCAGTCGTGTCCTTCAGGGGCAGGCCCAGGTGGGGCCCAGGGCTGGCCAGGTTGGTCTGGACCTGGCAGGGCTCCTGGCGCAGCGCTGCCCCTGGGGAGGGTATGGCGGTGGGCCCTCCCTGCTGGGCCTGGCACGTGGGAACCCACCGGCCGTGTCCACTGCCCAGGCCGATGCCCAGGTTCCTCAGGAGTCTCCATTGCTCTAAAGAGAGGAGAGACAGTCATGTCCTGGGGAGGACTTGGTGGTCAGCGCCCAGGTGGGACGGGGGGCCATCCAGGCCTCAGCACCGGGGAGAGCCCAGAAGGAGGGACAGGACTTCAGGGACTGCTGCCAGCTGTCTCTCTGAGAGGACTGATGGGCAGCGCCGGGGGGTCTTGGAGCAGAGAGGGCTCAAGGGAAAAAGGGAGACATTTAGGAGGTTGCTGGGGGTCCCAGGAGTGACGTGAGGGGCCTGGACCCGGATAGAAGGTTCAGCTTAGCTTGGGGGTGCCACCTTGGGCTTGGAAGTCGGGCAAAGGAAGAAGGAATCAAGGCCCATTCCATGGTCTCAGCTTGAGCAAAGAATTGGTGGGGCAGCAGGATGCAGGGACGGCAAAACCCCATGGAGCCAACTGCTCTGGGGAACGTGGAGGTGGGCTCTGGAGCCCCTCCCCAGACCCCAAGGCTGCTCCGAAGCAGCAGGAGCCTCATGGGGATGGATCCCAGGGTCTGGTGGGTGGAGTGGGTCGTAAAGCTGCTGCCTTTGTGGATAGGAACGAAAGCTCAGAGAGGTTAAGCAACTTGCCCCATGGTCCCACAGCTGGAACGCAAAGAAACTGGGATGTGGCCGGGCTCGGTGGCTCAGCCTGTACTCCCGCACCTTGGGAGGCTGAGGTAAGTGAATTGCCTGAGCCCGCAGGTTCGAGACCCGCCTGGGCAACTTGGCGAGACCTCATCTCTACAATAAATCAATAAATCAAAAAAGTAGCCGGGCATGATAGCGCGCGCCTGTAGTTCCAGCTACTCAGAAGGCTAAGGCGGAAGGATCGCCGGAGCCTAGCAGGTCGCGGCGGCCGGGAGCGGCCAATGCACCCCAGTCTGGGTGACGGAGTGAGACTCCAACACAAAAAAAAAAAAAAGAAAGAAAGAAAGAAACTGGGATGTGAATCAGAATCCGAATTTGTTCTTGGGCTGCTCCCACCTTTGGCCATGCCAACTCCATGGCCTTCTTACAGCCCCGGGAGCCTGAGCAGGGTGGTCCCGGGCACAGACTGGCCCGGGGGGCCCCGTTTCGGCCAGGGCCAGCAGTCAGTCCTGCTCCTTGTCCCACCTCTTCAGACCCCACTTGTCCAGGCCATATGCCTGAGACCCCTCCCTCGGGCCTCAGGCTGGAAAGCCCATCCGGCACCCAGCTGACTATGGGCACCTATAGACTTAGCAAGGCCTGGGCTGGCTGCTGGGAAGGGGGTTCTGGGTTGATATCCCGAGGGACCCTGCTCCTGGAACCACCCACCCAGGCCCACTGAGCCCCTTGCCTGGTCCAAGGCCTGCCATGGGCCTGGTGGGCACATTCTCCTTGAGGCCGGCATCAGGCCTTGGCTCCATGGGCTCTGGGGCACTGGTGTCCTTGGCCCACACCACGTCAGCAGTCTGGCCTGTCTGATCAGCTGGGCCCTGGGGGGAGATGACAGGGTTCCCAGCTCTGGCTCCCACCCCCACCTTTCGGCAGCACTCCTGGCTGCCCTCATCCCAGCCCCACCTGTCCGGGACCTGCCCCTCACTGGCCACACCTCCTAGGGTCTCCTCTCCTGCCCTCCCCACTGTGAGTGGTCAGTTCAAATGCTGACCAGTCCCATCCCTGGATCTCTCAGCTTATGTGCAGATAGCTCTGACGATGCAGGGTCAGTGACCGCCTCCACACGGCCACCCAGGTGTCTAACAGCATCTCAGCATCAGTGTGTCCCACACTGAACTCCCAGCTGTCCCAAAAGCCAGCTGTCTTCATCTCAGTGCCGCCTTCTCCACAGATGGCAGCTCCAGCCTTCGGTGGCCAGACAACCAATCCTGGTGCTACCCTGTGTCCCCCTCCCTCACTTATCAGCTAATCCCATGGGCTCTGCCTTTTGAAGGCATCCGAAATCTTTTATTATTTTTTGAGTCAAGGTCTCACTGTGTTGCCCAGGCTGGCGTGCAATGGCACGATTTCAGCTCACTGAAGTCTCCACCTCCTGGGCTCAGGTGATCCTTCTGCCTCAGACTCCCAAGTAGCTGGTACTACAGGCATGTGCCACCACACCTGGCTAATTTTTTAATATTTTGTAGAGACAAGGTCTTGCTATGTTGCACAGGCTGATTTGAACTCCTGGGCTCAAGTGATCCTCCTGCCTCAGCCTCCCAAAGTGCTGGGATTACGGGTGTGAGCTGCTGTGCCCAGCCTGCAAGGCATCAGGAATCTAATCCCTGTGTGCTAACCCCATCTCTACTACCTAGTTCAAGCTGCCGTCACCTGCTGCCTCCTGGCTGGTCTCCCTGATTCGGCCCTTGTGCCCAAGCCCACAGCCTACACCCCACACAGGGGCAGGGGATCCTGTGAATACTTAGATCATACCCTGTCTCAACTCAAATGCCCAAAGGCTCCAAGGCCCTAGGTCAGGGCTGACACACAGTGGCCTGGGCCAGAAACCAGTTATGTAAATAAAGTTCTATTGAAACAAAGCCACGCCTATTTGTTTACAGATCATTTGCTTTCCAGCTACTTGGCAGAGCTGAGTAGATGCGACAGAAACCTTAAGGCCCACCAAGCCCGCCTTTATTTTATTTATTTATTTTTTTGAGTTGGAGTCTCACTCTGTGGCCCAGACTGGAGTGCAGTGGCCGCTCCCGGCCACCGCAGCCTCGACCTGCCGGGCTCCGGTGATCCTTCCGCCTCAGCCTTCCAAGTAGCTGGAACTACAGGTGCACACTACCACACCCGGCTAATTTTTTTGATTTATTGTAGAGATGAGGTCTCGCCTGCCCAGGCGGGTCTCGAATCCACGGGCTCAGGCAATCCACTCACCTCAGCCTCCCAAAGGCGCGGGATGACAGGCTGAGCCACCGAGCCCGGCTTTATTTTTATTTTATTTTTTATTTTTATTTTTGTTGAGTTGGAGTTTCACTCGGTCGCCCGGACTGGAGTGCAGTGGCCGCCCCCGGCCACCACAGCCTCGACCTGCTGGGCTCCGGCGATCCTTCCGCCTCAGCCTTCCGCGTCGCTGGAACCACAGGCATGCCCTACCATGCCCGGCTCATTTTTGATTTACTGTAGAGACAAGGTCTGGCCAAGTTGCCCAGGCAGGTCTCGAACCTGCGGGCTCAGGCAATCCACTCGCCTCGGCCTCCCAAAGTGCTGGGATTACAGGCTGGGCCACCGAGCCCGGCCCCCACCAAGCCTTTGATGTGAGGCTTGGGTTACCTTGCCACCCTCCTCCATGCCCCCCACTCTGCTCCAAACACACCAGCCTCCTGGCCGTTCCTCCAACACATGCACCCTCCCAGCACAGGGCCTTTGCCGTCCCCCACCGCCCGGAACTCTCGGTTCCCCTCTCCCTCACGCCTTGGGCCCTGCCTCCCACCTCGCCTCTCCCTGCACTCGGACACCCACCGCGGCGAAGGAACGAGTGTGTGTGTGTCCCCCTCCGGGGGCCTCTGAGCCACACGAGGACAGCGCGCTCTGGGTCCTTCTTCCCTGCTGAATCTGCAGCGCCGGGAACAGGGCAGGCCACGGCGGGGCCTTGCCCACGCCTGCTGAGCGAACGAACGACTGAACCGCGCCCAGCACCGGGCCTCCCCAGCGGGCGGCCTGCCACCGAATCTGCACCGCCGCTGGGACCTGGGCTCCCCGTCTTGGAGGTGAGGACACCGGCGCTTGGAAGGGCCCGGGCCAAGGCCTCGGAGGGGCGCGCCCCGGTCGTGCCAGCCCCAGCCGGGCCACCCCCCGCACACCTTGCCAGAGGCGCTTCGCCGCCGCCCCCCCCGGGTCCCTCCCTACGGCCCGCCCCGTCTGGGCTCCTCGTCCGGCTCTCTGC